CTCCTCTTCCTGTTTTAAACCCAAAAGCCTCTAGTATTCGAACTCCAAATGCTGACAGTAGAGGGTGCACTGGATTCTTTTAGATGGCTTCTCTCACCAGATGATTGAGTTAGGTTATCAGCCCTGGTGATATAGTAGGTTACAAGTTGGGCTGCTAACCATAAGGTCAGCAGTTTGAAACAATCACTCTGTAAGAGAAAGAAAAACTTTCTACTCCTCTAAAGAGTTAGTCTCAGAAACCCACAGGGGCAGTTCTATCCTGCGCTATAGGATCATTATGCGTCAGAATTGATTCAAGGGCAGTAAGCATGCAAATAAACTGTCACACACACACACACACACACACACACACACACACACGGAGCCTGGACAACGTACTAATAATGAAAAGACTGATCACACAGAATTCAGATGGAAAGGATTATTGTCCTTGCTAGGTGCCACTGACCCATAATGACTCTGGACAACAGAATGGAACACTACCTAGTCCTGTGCCATCCTCACAATTTTTCCTATGCTTGAGCCTACTGTTGCAGCCACTGTGTCAATCCATCTCATCGGGGGCCTTTCTCTTTTTACACTGAGGGGGTAGAACCATGGGGCCTAAAAAGGGGGTTATCCAGTTTTACCATCCTCTAGGCTTAAAATAATACAGCTCAGAGGAAGAAAGAGGAAATCTGACAAGCACCAAGAAGAGATAGGAGTCCCTGTACTGGGACCCTCCTAGGCACAGGAGACAGAGAGCTAGAACACCAGTGATACTGAGAGACAACTAGAACAGTGGCAGGGAAACAGAAGCAGCAAAGGCAGCAGAACCAGGAAATTGGCACAAGATGGCACAGTCCACTTCCCAGCCCACAGAATGAAAGACCTGAACATCTTAAAGTAGGAGGCTTGCTGAAGTAGCAGGGTACCTCTAGCTACTTATTAGTAGAGATTAAGATCTTTGTAATACTGAGATGCTGAGATTCAAGAAGCCTGACTAGGGGGTACAGTGGAGAAAAGGCTGCCCTGACTGAAGAACTGTATCCTGAGTCTTTCCTGATCCTAAATTGTACCCTATTAAATCAGAAACCACACTCACTGCCATCAAGTCAATTCCAACTCATAGTAGCCCTATAATAGGGCAAGGTAAAAAATGCCCCTGTGGGTTTCGGAGACTATAACTCTTTATGGCAGTACCAAGCCTCCTCTTTCTCCCAAGGAAGCTGGTGGTTGCAAACCGCTGACCTTGTGATTAGCAGCCCAACCCGTAACCCACTATGCCATCAGGGCTCTTTGCTCCCTAATAAACCACATAATCAAGAGAATTGTCTGAGAGTTTTGTGTGACCATTGCAACAAATGATCAAGCCCAATAGGGAAGTAGAGAAGGTCATAGGATGGACATTTTTCTAAGAATTGGTAAAAAGGGTTAGAGAGAGGAAGCATGTCTGACCTCTATCTCACAGTGATCAGCCTTGGGCTCTTGATATTGATGGTGATTCTCTCTCTTTCTCATGAAGAGAGAGAAAGTCAAACACTCCTCACATTATTCATACATAGAATGACTCCCATGGAAAAGAATCTCTCTGTAATGATGGAAGTCTAAAAACCAAGGACAAACACAGCCTAACCTGGAGACAGGCGACCACAGCCAAACTCCAAAAATCACAACTAGCTAGAGTTCTTTCCCTTAACTTGTATTAGATGAAGGGTACTAAGGCCTGCAAAGGCTTTCCTAGACCAGAAATGAGAGAGAACCAAGACTACAGGTCATGTTGACAAAAGGCATTCTTCTAAACTGTACTCTTTTCAGACCTAAAACCAAAGCAACATCAAGTATCGTGATACTGGCAGTCCTCAGTTTACAAACAAGTTCCATTCCTAAATCTGTCTTTAAATCAAATTGTACGTAAATTGAAATCGTTAGGTATGGTTTGTATCTAATAAGTCAAATGTTTGTCTTAGTTTATAGTAAATAGCAAGATAGTATACCTTTCTTAGCATAAAAACATTAAAGAAACACTTCCATATACACTAGATATCGATATAAGAATAATAATGTAGCATGTTTGTTATTCTGAAGCATTGTATGTACCACAAATTATTAATATACCACAAATTATTAATATAATAGGCTTTATAGGGGTTGGTTTCTACCTAAGGGTTGTATGTAAGTCGGTTGTTGGTAATGCAGGGACTGCCTGGATTTTGCTTTCCTATCTCATTCTCCTATCCCATGCTAAAGATCTTACCACATCATGTGGCTGTAAGACTAAAGATAATTCCAAGAAGGAAGAGGTCCCATAAGCTTGCTAGAAGGGTCAAAGGAAAGGTATCTTTGGAAGATAAGGGAGAAACAGTGGGCCCTCTGCCCCTAAGGCCAGGGCACCCCAGCCTTGCAGGCAGCACAGAGTTAACTGCCCACCCGCTTTGAGAAGCACAAAGGTACATCACTGCAACATGCCTAACATTTACATTGCTTCTCTCTGCTCATTAAACAGGTTTTGGTTAAATAATGAACAAACTGTATTACAGACTCCGATGAGAATTCCAAAATTATAAATCAACTGGGAAAGCCCAAAGGGGCAGACAGACAGGGAGGGGGGAGAAGAATAATATTGACTAATATAAAGGGCGCAGCTTGACAGTGGATATTCCTGCCACACCTGATCAAACACACTCCGTGGGGGGAGGGGAAAGAGCGCAAGAGAGGGGAGATGGGACAAGACAGCCTGAAATTTGCATCCGGAAAAGATTAAAACGGATTCTTTGGGGATAGAGAAAATACATAATATATATTACTATAAATGCAAAACTGTACTAAAAGCTAACTCAAATGTCAAAGATTACAGCTTGAATAAATTTAAATATAAAAGCCATGTGCTTCCATGAGTTAATGAGAGAGACATAAAAGAACAAACCAGGCTAGGAGGCAGAACAGATCCTCATGTTGCCTTTGCTGGGCACTGGGTTCAAATCACAGCAAAGGCCAAAGATAGAAGCTTCCCTCCACAGCTCCAAGCACCAGGAGTGAACTAGGAAATCCCCTCACTATTCCAGCCTACATGTACTTAAAAACAAAAACCAACCCTACGATTCACGGGCCATAAAATTCACACTGTTAAAATGTACATTGGATTAGTGTTTAGTTTATTCACAAAGTTCGACAACAGTTACCACTACCTAAACATTTTCACCACCTCACAAAGAACTTGTAGCTATTAGTGGTTTCTCTCTACTCTCACACCAATCTCTAGAAATCACAGCTCTGTTTTTACCTACTGGCAAATAACGTCCTAAGAGGATCCCTAGAGGACTTCACGACTAACTGTAAGGGGCAGCAGGGAAGTCTCCCTGACTGATGTGAGCTAAGGCAGTATATCAAAGCAGCAACATTCAAACTTTGCCCTTGGGATGCTTGTATCTTCTAAGTGCAACCCTCTATTTAGATTAGGTGCTTCAATATTATATCACTCTAAATGCTGCTGAGCATGCCATTATCATGCAGTTTGGCCAAATAATGAACACAAGTATGTTGCAGAGACATATAACTATGAAAATACTGAAATGAATTTGGCTAGTCTACTAGAGACAATAGACTTATTTCCTTCACAATGATTGGAAAATACTCCTGGGTAGTGTTTATGTACTTAAAAGATCTTCTGTTTTCAAGAAAAGAAAATCATTTTGTTTTATTGACACTGTTCAAGGAACCATCCATTTCTAATAGTGATATGCTTACCACCCACATCAGCAGATAGCTAAGAAAAATGCAAACAGAAAGCCTTTGTAAAAAGGGGCAAAACCCAAATCAGGTTCACTAGTTAAACTGCACAGAAGTCCTAGAATGCCTGCCATCTCTCTTCCAATCTAAGTGGTACACCGTTCCCATCATACGGCCTGGGCACAGGCCCTTCAGTTGCTCTCTCTAAGCTCAAAACCCTTTCCCAGACTCCTACCAGTATCAGACTTCCAGGAAAGCCATCCTCCTGACACTGCCAATCAGAAAAATCTGTTTGTTTCAGTAAAAGAAACAAGAAATTGGTCATAGATAGCAGAGTCCAGGACCACAGGGGCAGTTGACCCATAAACCTGCTCCTGGGAGCCAGCACTGCGTGGGGGGTCAGAAGCAATCTGGCATGAAATGGTCTATTTCAGGTCGACGTTGTCATTTTCTCTGGCAGGTAAAATGCTAAAAAACAAGAACAATGGGGCAACCTAGGCCAGCACCATTTCAACATCTGCCACAGCTGTTGGCCCTGGGACACACTACCATCTCTTTCCTCACTAGACTAGAGGAAAGCTTGATAATACCACTGACAGAACTAGCTCCTCAGCACATTTTGGTTTTATTTATTCCAAGCAGCAGATAATTTAGATTCCTAACCCAAGGATATATGAAAATTATGCAGCAGGCTCAACTTTGGTAGCTCTAGATGAGACTGCATACTGGCTGGGAGATCTGTATTACAGAAAATGAAGGCCCTGATAGCACTGAATGCCTTTCCATAAGAGAAGGGTTTTGTTGCAAGTAACATAAAGTTGTACTGCCAATTCCCAATCTCATGGCATACATGAGGTAGAGGAAGAAGGCTGATAAAATAAAGACAAAAAAGAACTTACTTATAATCCAACCAATGACAAAGCGTATGTGTATAAAGATGCATGCCAACTAAAATGTACTGGGAATCAGGAATTCAGGGAAAAGAATCAGTAACACACACAAAAAAAACAAAGGTTGGCAAATGATACCTATGGCCAGATCTGGCATGCAACCTGTTTCTATAAAGAAAATATTACTGGAACACATTCGTGCCCATTCATTCCCATATTATCTATGACTGTCTTTGAGCTACAATGACAAGAGTTGAGTAGTTGCACAGAGACCATAAGGCCCTCAAAATCTACACTGTTTCTTATCTAACTCTTTTCAGAAAGTTAGTAGACACTTGCAATAAACCAAGCATTCACATTTTTTGCCAGGATATGTAATCCTACCTAGATGTGGGGACTTACCTGTTATATTGTTTAAAACTTCCTTTAGATGACTAAAACTATGCAGCAGAGGATCCCGTTCTTCATCCTGCAGAACACACAGGTTTAAAAAAAGACATTATTGGACTGAAAGAGAAAAATAAATTAAATAAATACCAAGGTTCTTTCCCTGAATCAAACCAATAAATCCTGTAAGTTTTCCTTCTGAGAAAAAGGAAGTTAGTTATGGTTTTTATGTTTCTTAGGCTCTTATTTGACAGAGATACTCTGACCTTACCTAAAATAGCAAATCCTAAAGTACTAATCTATATGATGACCACAGCACTCAAACTACCACAGATTGTCAGTTCTTTTATATGTGTATTATTCTAGTTCTTCTCTTCCTTCATATTCATTATATAAGCACACATAGCATTTCAAAGACATTCTGAACTCCACTCTCACTTTTAGAACAATCCATTTTTATAAATAAACATGAGAATTTCCCAAAACAAACATATATGCACTCTTACCAAATTGGAAATTTCAAAAATTATTTTTATGATTATTCCTAAAAGTATTGTGTATAATTGTATACAATAAATCTTTGATCACATAATAAACAAAGCTGGCAACAAAGCAAGCCAACTTTAAAACAGGTAAGTTTCTCCTTCTCTGATTGGCAAGATATTGCCTGTTTGGTATATGGAAGTTTGTTGAACCTCAAGAAGGTAAACCTTTAACAAGTCATACTCACTGCACCAATAGCTACACTAATTTAAATAAATTTAATAACTACTTACAATCCTAGGGAATGAGAGGGTAAGAAACCTTTCTGATATTTTTAGGCATTAAAGAGGTCCCAAATACTCACTTGGGTTGTTGACAAAAATAGCTAGAAGGATGAAGTCATCTTTTGATGACTTCAGAGAGGAGAATGAAAAAACGTAGCTTATAAATTTGATGCTAGCTGGAATAAAACAGAAAAGGTTTTGACACAAAGAAGAACTATGAATTCTTACTATTCCTCTTATTACTGGAGCTTGGTTACTGTTTGAACAATGTGTCTGATCCCCTAAAACATTCAACAACCAAACTATCAGTCCATTCTTCACTTACCAGTGGGGTATGAGTGCTCCATCGGGCATTTCGCTTGATGGCCCCAACCACAATGTTAATCTCCCCTTGAATGATGTAAATATTCTTATCCACCATCCTGGCAAACCTACCAAAACAGTTCAGAGAAAATATTTACTCAGAGCATTGTTAATGATGTTAGCTGCCATCGAGTTGGCCCAACTCATAGCAACCAACAGACGAAATGGCTGATCCTATACCATTTTAGTTATTAGTTGCAAACTGACTGATTGTGATCCACAGGATTTTCATTGGCTGATTTTCTTTTTTTTTT